TAATCACCAAATTCTGAAAGTTTACCATTTAGTCACTAACCCATAGTTTGGGGTTTTACAATGTGGTCATTCGGGATATATATGTAATCCTTTGGAACATATATGTGGTTATTCGAGACACATATTTGGTCCTTTGGAATATATTTGGTCTTTCGGGACATATATGTGGTCCTTCGGGACATCTATGTGGTCATTCGGGACATATATGTGGTCATTCGGAACAAATTCTATATGCCCCTAGTGGAATTTATACGAGCTGTGGTGACAACATATGTGCACAACCTCAATGTATTCACATATCTTTAGTTCTAAAAAATGTACATGGGCTAATAAAAAGATAACATAAAGAAACCTTGTGTAATGTTATGTGCTTTGCTTGTAAAAGGTATGGTATGAAGTGTACAAAGGTTAACTACAAGATTATATGTTATAAATGTATTAATGATAATGATAATGACAATGATGTGATTAGGATATGATGATATATGTGCAGGTATATAGTTAGTTATATGAACTGTTATATGATGTTTGTATGATATTATTATATGAAATGTGAAATGTTCATGCATTGTTAAGTATCTAGAGTTGCTATTATACGTGTTATATGTCTCACTAAGTCATAGACTTAGCGTGTGAGTGTTTCACACGTAGGTTCCGAGAAACAAGAAGAGGAGCAAGGATGGACAAGTCAGGTTAGCTTCTCCTTTCCAAAGATCAGATCAGAAAAGTATTTGAATAATATGTATTTTGTTATATGGAATGTAGTTGGCATGTAACTAAAAGATTTGAATTGTATACGCTCTGATAAGTTTTGTAAACTCTTTAGTAGAAATTGTATAAATGATGCACTTTTATTTAATAAAAGATGCAATTTTCACAATTTTGTAAATGTAAATATTTTGAAAAGTTAATGTGACACATTAGATTCGTATCCGGGTCTGGTACGGGTTGGAGGTGGTACAGGGTAAGGCTTTAGTCAGGTGAAGGCTTTTTATCGATTCATATCCAAATTATTTGTGTCTACATAAAGGGTTTATCCATTTATAAGCTCATTTTAACAAAGGTGAAATAATATATGGGTTGGACTTTGGGTGTATTTATTTGGTTCAGTTAGAGATTTTGTACATACTGAAAAACTGAAAAGCATATAGAAAAGAGTAACAGATTAGATGTACTGAACTTCATTCAAATAATGGATTTGGGTCTTCTGTTTTTGTTTTGATAATTTTTGGGCAGTTCAGGTTCAGTGAGTTTTGCACCTTGATTGAGAACAACAACAACAACAACAACAAAACCCAATTCCCATATGTATGGGGTAAGGGGGAGGTAGGGTAGTAGGCTGCTCCCAACGCCAGGTTGAGAGTAGCTTCCGTGGAATGACCTCCGGCAGTCAGAAAATTAAAAATATAGATAAAATGCAGTGCATATATAAAAAATACATAGCTAAACAATATTCATATGCAGTCATTAAAATCATATGTGCGTCTGTAACGGGAATTAATCCCTGCATAATAATCCCTGCGAAAGAATCTCTGCATATAGACAGAAACATAAGACCCGGCTAAATTTAAAAGAGGAAACATTAAGAGAATGATACACAGAAGTCAACGATAGCAAGCGCAGTTCTAATCCTTCATAAATACCAATAACAGAAACATATAAAAAGTAGAAGTCATGGAAAATACTACAAAGACATTAAAAGAAGACAGAGATGATACACCCTATAGATGTGACCCACACTACTCGACTACCCTAGTCTTTAGCCTCCATAATTTCCTATCAGAGGTCATGTCTTCGGTAAGGGCTAAATCCCTCAAATCAGATCTCAAGCAGTCATCCCACTTCCGCCTTGGTCGTCATTTCCTTCTGGCACCGTCGACTGTAATCGATTCTACCCTCCTGACCGCATCCGACGGTAGTCGTCTAAGGACATGCCCAAACCACCGTAGTCTTCCCTCCCTCAATTTTTCGGAAACAGACACCACCCCCAAGGACATCCTAATAGCCGAGTTAGTCGTCATATCCCATAGAGTCCTACCACATGTCCATCGAAGCATCCTTATTTCTGCGGCCTCAATCCTCCTTACGTGATCCTTCTTGGTTGCCCAACATTCTGATCCATACAACAGTGCTGGTCTTATTGCCATTCTATAAAATTTTCCCTTAAGTTTTAGAGGCACCTTCTTGTCACACAGAACTCCAGTAGCGGCCCTCCACTTTAGCCATCTCGCCTTTATACGGTGTGTAACGTCATCATCTACACCCCCATCTTTATGTATCATAGACCCTAGATACTTGAAACAATCCTTTGAGGGGAGAACGTGTCCTTCTATGTATACTTCTACATCTTCATCGTTTTGGTTCCCATTGAAGTTTGAACATAAATACTCTGTCTTTTCAATATTGATCCTTAAACCTTTTTCTTCCAAAGCAGCCTTCCAGGTAGCCAGTCTACTATTCAACTCAGATTTTGTTTCAGCAACTAGGACAATGTCGTCAGCGAAAAGCATACACCAAGGTACACCGTCTGGTGTCGCACAGTAGATGTCGTCCATAATCAAGGTGAAGATGTAAGGGCTAAGAGCCGACCCCTGGTGGAGTCCGATTTCCACCGGGAATGCCTCGGAGTCACCAACTGTAGTCCTGACGTAAGTAGTAGATCTACAGTACATATCACGAATCGCCCGGATATAAGCAGTTGGGATCCGTCTCGTTTCTAAAGTCTTCCAGATCGTATCGCGGGGTACACTATCATAAGCCTTCTCAAGGTCAATGAACGCCATGTGAAGATCTCTAGACTTTTCCCTATATTTCTCCATAAGCCGTCGAAGTAGATGAATCGCCTCCGTGGTAGACCTTCCTGGCATAAAGCCAAATTGGTTTTCCGAAACCCTAGTAACTTGTCTCAACCTAGTCTCTATCACCCTTTCCCATAGCTTCATGGTATGACTGAGTAGTTTAATACTTCTGTAGTTACCACAACGTTGGGGATCTCCTTTATTTTTATAGATTGGTATCACCGTAGACTCTCTCCACTCCTCTGGCATCTTGGCAGTCTCTAAAATAATATTAAAGAGGTTGGTCAACCACTTAACTCCCTCTTCTCCTAGGGCCAACCACACAGTGATAGGAATTTGATCATGACCGACAGCTTTGTCCATTCCCATCTTTCTAAGGGCAATTTTGACTTCCTCAAACCCAATCCTACTTGTAGGGCAGTCATTGGTCGTAGTATGATAGTCGGCTAACCCATCAACGATACTATCTCTACATGGAGAGGCACCGTCATTAAATAAGCCAAAGAAGTAACTACCCCAAACCCTCTTAATATCGTGATCTTTCGCTAAAAGAACACCATTGTTGTCCTTAATAAACCTAATGTTACCTAGATCCTTTTTCCTAATCTCCCTAGATTTTGCAAGTCTGAAGATGCCATTTTGTCCTTCCTTGGTGTCTAATCTCTTGTACATTTCCTCGTATGCCTTATCCTTTGCTTTAGCTACCATTTTCCTGGCTTCCCGTTTTGCCTCCTGGTATCTTTGTTTAGCTCTCGACCTTTCTTCCTCATCATTGCATTGTAGAAACTCCTTGAAGCAAGTTTGTTTTGTCTTCACCTTAGTTTGGACTTCGTCGTTCCACCACCACGATTCTTTATGTTCCTTGGCCTTCCCCGTCGACAACCCAATGGTGTTTTTGCCAACCTCTCTGATGGAATTTGCCATATTTTTCCATAACATATCTGCATTATTTGAGTTTGTAGTTTTAAAACTTGTATTAGACAAAACCTTACTCCTAAAGTCATCAGATGTCGCTCCATGTAAGTTCTTCCAGAGGATCCTAGGTTTACCAAGTTTAGCCCTCCTATGAGTGCTCCGCCCGTGGGGTGCGTGGAACACCAGAACCAACAATTTGTTGTGGTGCACATGCCTCTTCAGGGAAGACCTTACAGTCAATGCAAGCCCATCGTTCCCGATTTCTAATCAAGATGTAGTCGATTTGGGTACAATGTCCCCCGCTATGAAACGTAATCGAGTTCGCATCTCTCTTATTAAAGAATGAGTTAGTGATCACCAAATCGTGAGCAGTAGCAAAATCAAGCAACGTACGCCCCTCATCGTTCCTGCTACCATAACCGAAACCCCCATGAACACCGTCATACTCGTCGGTTGCACTGCCTATATGGCCATTGAAGTCTCCCCCTATGAAAACTCTTTGGTCCTCCGGAATGCTCCTAAGTATATCATCTAACTGATCCCAAAAGCAACGTTTCTCCCCCTCCCCTAGGCCAACGTGTGGGGCGTACACTGAAAGTACATTCACTACTTCCTCTTCTATAATAACCTTAATCATCATGATCCTATCCCGGTATCTGCAAACTTCAACTACATTTTCCTTGAGCCTAGAGGATGCCAAGATACCCACCCCATTTCTAGCGTTATCTACGCCTGAATACCACAACTTGTACCCATTACACTCTTTGGCGCGGGACCCTTTCCACCTAGTCTCCTGGATACATGCAAAATCTATTTTTCTATTATTAAGTACGTCGGTCAGCTCCAGTAGCCTAGCATTTAATGTGCATTTGAGGGTTTTTTTTTGAAGGGGGGATGGGGTGTATGTTGGCTGCAAAACACTCTTATGGTTTAAAGAAACTGAAACGTAAGAGATGTTAATTCCTGTTGCGGGTTTGAGTAAGTTTTGTGCCTTGATTGGGGAATCAAATGTGATGCAAGGAACAGTTCATTGTGTTAAAAGTTTTGATAATTTATTTTCGGTGGTGGAGGTTGCAAAAAACACTTATGGTTTCGAAAATCTAAAACTCTAGAACATAGTGTAAGAGAAAAGTTTGGGTGAGTTAATTTTATGATGTAGCAAAATTTTCTATTACTGGTGTTCATGGATGTTATTTCCCTCTTCCCATTTTTAACTGATCATGTATTCTGGTTACTTCCTTGAGTTTACTCTTTTAGATAATCAGGCTGTTGGATTAGTCTTCACACTCTTGCCCTACCTTTTTTTCCTAACTTTTTAATTTGACTGCTTCATGCAGGTATAGCACCTTCTCCTGTTATCCACCTGAGATAGTTAAGAAAATGCCTAAAAAGGATCTAGCTGAGGAGGTGATTTTGGTCCTTTTAACATTCCTTCCTGTTTTTTTATTTGGTTACTGCATCTCTTTTCTTGTACTTTGTAGTTGTATCACTCTTTCTTACATGTTTTTTTCTCTTGCCTTCCATGTTATGGTTTTGCTTTTGGCATTGTCTCCGTGCGATATATTTGTGATTCTAAGAATTTTAATGACCCTGAGCCTCTGCATGTACACATAATTAAATGTTTTCTTTCATCTCAGGTTTGGAGGCTTCAGGCAGCTCTAGGCGAGCAATCAGAAATCACCAAATACAGTCAGCAGGAGTTTGAGAGACTTCAAAACGTAAGTTTTCAACTTTAACAATGTGTCTTTGTAGTGTGAAATAGTAGATTTTCAAACTCTGCATTAAGAGACTAAGGAAGCTGGAATGAGATACATTCTTGTGTGCACTCTGCTGACATGCACGTGTTCTTGACGTAATAATGTACAGGAGAAAGTGTTATGTAGGGTTTGCTTCGAGAGAGGGATTAGCGTGGTTTTTCTCCCTTGTAGGCATCGTATTCGTTGCAGGTACATTAGTCATTCTTTTGATTCGATTGCATCTCAGATGTATCCAAATGAAGTTCCATCCTCTTTGCTGTTATGCTCATCGGTTCCTTTCAATTTGCAGTATCTGCTGCGAGAAGTGTAGAAAATGCCCAATCTGTCGTGTTTCCATCGAGGAACGCTTACCTGTATACGATGTTTAATTTCTAACTTACAAGTTCGTAACATGAGAGTGCAAAGCAAACATCAAATAACTTGACAGGTCGGATGTTACTATAAAGTTCACATTAGAGAGTGTTGCTTCTTTGAATTGACACATGCTAGTATAAAGATATAGAGTACACATGCTATAATTACAAAAAAAAAAACTTATTTTATGTTTTGATAATCATAGGAAATGTAAATGTAGTTTCTTTATAGGAATGATTTTCTGACATGGGATTGTAAGGTTTTGATTGCTTGTTTACTCGATACAAGTAGTGCATCAGATATGTTTCAGTCCTTTTTTGTTTATTTTGTAAAATGTGTAATTAGTACCACTCCCCTTGGAATATAATGTAAGCTGTTTTCGTTGTACAAAGAAATGTTAAAGTCAAGGATGCACGCACCGAATATACATAATTTTAATGGGTTGGCACCGAATGTGCATAATTTCAATGGGTCGTCAATTGTTTATTAAAATAAAAATAGGGTTAATTACAATATTAGTCTCTAAGCTTCAACTATAAATACCCTAGCTCATTTAGTTTAAAATCATCCCAAAATCAATTTTCTTTCTTCCAATACTAGAGAGCTTTCTTGTGAGTAGTGAGCGTTTTGTAAACACCTGTAAATTTTCTCTCTTAATAAAAGATCTACAGCAGTCCGGAGACGTAAGCAAAATTGGTTGAACTCCGTTATCAATTTCGGGTATTATTTTTCCGTTTTTATTTCGCATTCTCACTAATCTGGTTATAGGGAAATTACTTGTACTCGGGCTTATTTCCCAACAACTGGTATCAGAGCTTTTGGTTGTAAATTTTGTCAATTTTTTGCGAGGTTACTATTCATTACTATTCACATAAATAGTGAATTTCGTGAATAGTGAAATTTTGTCGGCAATACAAATTTGTCGACGGAGGTGTTCTAATACATGGTGGTTCGCAAGAATTATTAGAAACGATCCAAACAAATCCAGATTCGAGTGGGAGCGATGGTTGCAGACGAAGGGAATGTGAAAATTGAAAAGTTCGATGGTGCGGACTTTGGCTTTTGGAAGATGCAAATTGAAGATTTTATGTACCAGAAAAATCTATATCAACCTCTATCAGGAAAGCAACCAGAGGGCATGAAGAATAAAGACTGGGCCCTTCTCGACAGACAAGCCCTCGGAGTTATCCGACTGACGTTGTCCCGAAATGTTGCTTTCAACATAGCAAAGGAAAAGACCACGACGGGTCTTATGGCGGCTCTCTCCAGTATGTATGAAAAGCCATCGACCTCAAACAAAGTTCATTTGATGAAGTAATTATTCAATTTGCGGATGACAGAAGGGGCATCAGTGGCTCAACACCTAAATGAGCTCAACACAATCACAACTCAGTTGAGTTCCGTGGAAATTGAATTTGATGATGAAGTTCGAGCTTTAATACTCTTATCATCTCTACCAGACAGTTGGAATGCTACTGTTACAGCAGTTAGCAGCTCATCGGGAAACAACAAATTAAAATTCGACGATGTTCGGGATCTGATACTGAGTGAAGAAATCGACGGAGAAAATCAGGTGAAGCATCAACCTCCTCAGCCTTGCACACGGAGTCTAGAAGGGGAAAATCAAGAACAGGAAAGAAAGATTATACCTGTTATAATTGCGGAAAGAAGGGTCACTTTAAAAGAGATTGTCGAGCACCGAAGAAAAATACCGACGCACAGGAATCTGCCAACGTGACAGAGGAGGCAGGTGATGCCATGATTCTAAGCATCAACAGTCCGATTGAATCATGAATCTTGGATTCAAGGGCATCTTTCCACTCCACCCCATGCCGAGAAATCATGGAGAACTATGTTAGTGGTGATTTTGGGAAGGTTCATCTAGCTGATGATGAAACCTTGAAGATCGTCGGAAAGGGAGACATTCGATTAAAGCTGCCAAACCAGACCACCTGGACGCTGAAAGGTGTGAGACATATTCCTGATCTTAAAAAAAATTTGATTTCTGTAGGACAGCTTGATGGAGAAGGATATAGTACAACCTTTTCAGGCTGTGAATGAAAGATTACCAAAGGAGCATTCGTCATTGCTCGTGATAAGAAGACTGGTACTCTCTATGTAACCTCAAATTTAGAAAATATCATTACAATAGCAGATGCTGATGGAAAATCAAACCTATGGCACCAAAGGCTTGGCCATATGAGCGAGAAAGGGATGAAGACACTTTTGTCAAAAGGGAAGTTGCCAGATCTAAAGAATGTAGATGTCGGACTATGCGAGGATTGCATCTTTGGTAAACAAAAGAAAGTCAGCTTTGCAAAGATTGGTAAGACACCCAAGGCTGAAAAGTTAGAGTTGGTTCATACTGATGTATGGGGACCATCTCCAATTCCATCTCTTGCAGGCTCATTATATTATGTCACATTCATCAATGATTCAACAATGAAAGTGTGGGTTTATTTTCTGAAGAAGAAATCAGAAGTCTTTGATATCTTCATAAAATGGAAGGTCATGCTGGAAAATGAGATTGGTTTGAAAGCCAAGCGGCTGAGGTTTGATAACGGAGGAGAGTACAAAAACAGAAGATTCAGAGATTTTTGCGCAAATAATGGGATCAAGATGGAGACAACAGTTCCCATGACACCACAGCAAAATGGCGTAGCAGAGCGCATGAACAGAACTTTGAATGAACGTGCCAAAAACATGAGGATACATGCCGGACTGCCCAAATTTCTATGGGCTGATGCTATCAACACTGCAGCTTACCTGATCAACTGTGGTCCCTCAGTTCCTTTGGATGGTAGAATACCAGAGGAAGTTTAGAGCAAGAAAGAAATAAACCTTTCACACTTAAGAGTGTTTGGTTGTATTTCTTATTTACACATAGATTCTGCTGAAAGAAGTAAACTTGATGCCAAGTCCAACAAATGCTTCTTTGTTGGTTATGGTGGTGATGAGTTCAGTTACCGGTTTTGGGACTACGAAAATCGAAAGATCATCAGAAGCAAAGATGTCATTTTTAATGAGAATGTGATGTACAAAGACAAATCAACTGTAGAATCAAGTAGCTCCAATACCGAAGCTGAAACAAAGGAATTTGCTGAGTTCGAGGAGATTTCTAGAAATAATGTTCAGATCAATCCTGAAACAGTTCAAGAAGAACCAGGCACACCAGAACTGAGACGCTCCTCCATAATTCCTAAACCAACCCAACGGTATTCTCTTTCTTTGCACTACTTGTTGCTGACCGATAATGGTGAATCAGAGTGCTATGATGAAGCAATGCAAATGGAGGATTCAGTCAAGTGGGAGTCTTCTATGAAAGATGAGATGAACTCGCTTATGTCAAATCAGACATGGGAATTAGTTGAATTACCACCAGGCAAGAAAACGCTCCACAACAAGTGAATTTACAGGATCAAGGAAGAGCACGATGGGAGCAAACGCTACAAAGCGAGATTGGTTGTCAAAGGTTTTAAGCAAAAAGAAGGTATTGACTACAATGAAATTTTCTCTTCAGTCGTGAAACTGTCTACAATCAGACTGGTGTTGAAAATTGTAGCTGTAGAAAATCTACATCTTGAGCAGTTAGATGTAAAGACATCTTTCATTCATGGTGATTTGAAGGAAGAAATATATATGAGGCAGCCAAAAGGCTTCATATAGGCAGACAAGAAAAACCTGGTATGCAGGTTGAAGAAGAGCTTGTATGGTTTAAAACAAGCTCCTAGACATTGGTACAAAAAGTTCGATAACTTCATGAGTAGCAGTGGTTTTACCAGATGCCAAGCAGATCATTGTTGCTACATCAAGAGGTTCGACAATAGCTTCATTATTTTATTGTTGTATGTTGATGACATGCTCGTTGCAGGCTCAGACATGCAAGAGATTATAAACTTGAAGCAAAAATTGTCGAAGCCGTTTTCTATAAAAGATCTGGGCGCTGCAAAGCAGATTCTTGGGATGAGGATCAAGAGAGACATAAAGTTGAGGACTTTGATGTTATCACATGCTGAGTACATCAACAAAGTACTCTCCAGGTTCAACATACAAGATGCTAAACCATTAAGTACACCTTTAGGTGTTCATTTTAGACTTTCCAAATAACAGTCACCAAAGACGGAGGAAGAACGTGCACACATGGTGAAGGTGTCGTATGCCTCAGCAATTGGAAGTCTGATGTATGCCGTGGTTTGTACCAGACCAGATATTGCTCATGCAGTGGGAGCTGTTAGAAGGTACATGAATAATCCGGGCAAGGTACACTGGGAACAGTCAAATGGATCCTCAGATATCTGTGAGGTACCACAAACAAAACACTTTGTTTCAAAGGTGGAGATACGTTACTGACAGGCTATGTAGATGCTGACTTAGCCGGAAATGTTGACATCAGAAGAAGCACTACAGGGTATATACTCTAGGAGGAACTGCAGTGAGTTGGGTTTCTCAACTATATAAGATAGTTGCTCTCTCCACAACTGAAGCAGAATATGTCGCTGTTACGGAAGCCAACAAGGAGATGGTTTGGCTCCAAAGTTTCTTGGAAGAGTTAGGCAAGAAACAAGAAAACAATGTCTTGTATTGCGACAGTCAAAGTGCTATTCATATGTCAAAGAATCCGTCTTTTCATTCCAGGACGAAGCACATACAATTGCGATATCATTTTATCCGGTCTCTTCTGGAAGATGGGATTTTGAAACTTGAAAAGATTAGTGGAGCTCAAAATCCGGCAGACATGTTAACAAAGACGGTGACTACAGACAAACTGAAGTTGTGTTCAGCTTCAGTTGGCATGCTAGAGTAACAAGACTAGAAAAGCTGCTGCATTGATCGAGGTGTGAAGACATATTAAAATCAGTCTTTAAGTGGGAGATTGTTAAAGTCAAGGATGCACGCACCGAATATGCATAATTTCAATGGGTTGGCACTGAATGTGCATAATTTCAATGGGTTGGCAATTGTTTATTAAAATAGAAATAGGGTTAATTACAATATTAGTCCCTAAGCTTCAACTATAAATACCCTAGCTCATTTAGTGTAAAATCATCCCAAAATCAATTTTTTTTCTTCCAATACTAGAGAGCTTTCTTGTGAGTAGTGAGTGTTTTGTAAACACCTGTAAATTTTCTCTCTTAGTAAAAGATCTGCAGCAGTTCGGAGACGTAAACAAAATTGGTT